GACGGGGAGGGGAGAAAAGGAGCCTCAGCGTGGGGTAGGGAAAGGGGCTGGGGGCCAGGGAGGAGGCTGGAGGGGCGGGGGGGGCAGGAAGGGGGTTGGAGGTGAGGCCGGGGGGCACCTTGGGGGTCAAGAGGGGGGCGGGAAAAGAGGCTGGGGGGCACCCGGGGAGGGGTTGAGGGAATGCCAACCCTGGGTGTGTGCAGGGGGGTCTGGGAGCTCGAGGGAGGAACAGGGGAGGCGCCCTGGGTGTCCAACAAGGCTTTGGGGGTCTGGGGGGGGGTCCCAGCCCCCCTGACTCCCCCTGTGCCCCTCAGCCCTGCCCTGCCAGCTGCACCCCAGCCCACTGAAGCGCTCGCTGTCACTGGTGCCCAGCAGCCCCCAGCCCGGCCAGGGGGGTGAGTGGGCGGGGGGCGGAGGCCCTGAGGACACCCCCTCGGCCCCAAGGGCCCCCCCCCCGTTCGGGGAACACGCCCCCCTGTCCCCCCAGAGCAGCGTGGCCTCATCGGGCAGCGAACACACTGAGGAGCCCGGCGGGCGCAACTCCTTCCAGGAGGACGGCAGCGGCATGAAGGGTGGGCTGGGGGAGGGTTCCGGGGGGGGTTTACGGGGTGTTTGGGGGGGGCTGCCATTTCACAACCACCCCCCGACCCCCCCAGACGTCCCCTCGTGGCTCAAGAGCTTGCGGCTCCACAAGTACGCGGCGCTGTTCGCCCAGATGAGCTACGAGGAGATGATGACACTGACAGAGCATCACCTGGAGTCGCAGGTGGGCTGGGGCCATCCCTGGGACCCCCGCCCCGTGTCCTTGGGCTGCCTGGCAGGGCCATGACACCCTCACTGTCACCCCCAGAACGTCACCAAGGGCGCCCGGCACAAGATCGCCCTGAGCATCCAGAAGCTGCGGGAGCGGCAGAGCGTCCTCAGGGCGCTGGAGAAGGTCACTGGTGCCACTGGGAGCACGGGGGGGGCCTGGAGGGGGCCGTTGGGTCCCCCAGGGTGACACTGGTTGGTCTTGGGGGACACTGCGGCGACACTGGGGTGGCCCTCTGGTAACCCAGGTGTGACACTGGTGACACCGGAGGGGCCCTTAAGCTCCCCTCTGCCATGTCTCAGTGTCCCCACAGGTTGCTGGGGAGAGCGACCCTGGTGTCCCTGGGGTCTTTTTCTCATGTCTCTGGTCATGCCCAGTGTTTCCAGGGGCTGTTTTTGGCGGTCCCCGATGTCCCCCCGTGTCCCTGGGGGGGGGTCCCTGATGCTCCCTCTTCTCCCTGTGTACCCCCAGGACATCCTCGAGGGGGGCAACCTGTGGACGGCGCTGCAGGAGCTGCAGCAGATCCTGGTGACCCCCATCAAGGCCTTCCGGCCCCCTCCAGCTGCGCCCCCCCCTCCCGGGACCCCCGACGGAGCCCCCCCGGCCCCTACTCCTGACGCCTTTGCCTCTCCCCCGGCCCCCGACACTGAGGCCCCCGCGGCCCCTGTCCCTGACGGGGACATCCCGGGCCAGTTCACCCGGGTCATGGGCAAGGGTGAGTCTGAGGGGTCCTGGGGAGGGGTCGGGGGGGTCACAGGGAGCTGGGGGGGTCACAGGGAGGGTCACAGGGTCAGTCCCCAAAAGGAACATGTCAGGGCGGCTCAGTGGGTTCTGGAGGGGCGCCCCAGCGTTCCAGAGGGGCTTGGGGTTTGGAGGGGCATCCCAGGGTTGGGGGTCATGTCACAGGGTTCCAGAGGGGGTTCAGGGCATGTGTGTGGGGGGATCCCAAGGTTTGGGGGGGGTCACAGGTTTTGGGGAGGGGTCCCTGACTCCCCCTTAGTGTGCACCCAGCTCCTGGTGTCGCGGCCAGATGAGGAGAACATCACCAGTTACCTCCAGCTGCTCGAGAAGTGCCTGAGCCACGAGGTACTGAGGGGGGGGCCTTGGGGGGGGAGACGAGGGGGTTCCATGACCCCAGGTGACCCCCCCGATACCCCCCAGGCGTTCACGGAGACGCAGAAGAAGCGGCTCCTGTCCTGGAAGCAGCAGGTGCTGAAGCTGCTCCGCGCCTTCCCCAAGAAGGGGCCCCTGGACGGTCCCCCGGGCTACCGGCCCCCCAAGGGGTATGTGGGGGGCTCAGGGACACCCCCCCCGGGGCTGTGGGACCCCCAAATTCCCCTGGGACCCCCTTCCTGACCCCAGATGTCACCACAAGGAGTCCCTGGACGTGACACCGCTCCTCCCCAGTTTTGAGGGGAATCTCAGGGTGATCCCCCAGTGCTGGGGGGGTGGGGATGTCCTGGGGTGGTTTGGGGGTTATCCCCCTGTTCTGGGGGGATTTTGGAGGGACTGTCTTGCCCCCCTGACTCCTCCCAATTTGTTCCCCCCCCAGCTGGGCCTTTGGCTCCAACTCTCTCCCCATAGCTGGCTCTGTGGGGGGGGGGCGG